TATATATATATATATTATTTTTATTTGACAAAGTAGGGACTTAATTGAGAAAAAGTATAGAAGGACGAATATTACAATAATTATTTCTAAATCGAAACTCGTTTGATTTGGGTCAAATTACAATACCTACTCTATTGACTGTTAAGTATACCAGATTAGCATGTCATTAATGTCAGAAAAACAATGATTAGCCCGTCATTAACTGCATATTTAAGAGCAAAAAGATTAAGAACATGACATATATATATATTTGGTAGGTAGTATTTTGATACTATAAATGAATTGGTAATTGGGGTTTTCTCTTTATTACGGTTAGTATTTAGGATAAAGTAAAAAAAAATCAATATTCAAATGAATGTTTTGGTTATTATAATTTAAAAAATTATAAAATGATCATTAAATTTTATCAAACTATTGCAAAATTATCATTAAATTTATAAAACAATTACAATTGTTATAATGTCGCAATGACCATCTTATAACTTCCGAAAGTTCAGTGATCAAAACAATCATTTGAACATAGTTAAACGATCTCTTACGTACCTTACCCTACTATTTACTAGACTAGCATTAGAATATTATAAAATGGTGATTAAACTTTCTAATCTGTTATAAAATGACTATTAAAATATATCAAACCGCCACAAAATGATCTTTAAATTTATTAAACTAATACAAAATGATGTAATAAATTCATTTTAAAATTACGACGAAACAATTTGTTCGACACAGACTCGTATTTTACACCTAATATCAGATAACATATCATATATTATATTAACTTCTGAATGCAAATGCAACATCCACGGCTTGAACGTTGATTGAACGCCCATGAATGCAACAACCATTAATTCAAGGAAAAGATTACGATTTGAAAGCAGAAATTAATGATAATTCATTGAAAGCAAAGTAGGTGAAGTATGAATTGTGGGTGCAGCAAATGACTTCCGGACATTAAACTTTTTTTCCTTGAAAAAAAATTGTAGTCCAAAAGTACACAATTACGATTACGATTTACGAATGCAAAATAATACACATCTGAATAACTATCACAATAACTAATCATTATAGCAATCAAATTAATAACCGTAGGAACGCAACCAAAAATCTTTTCCCAAATATCAAGATTGAATTGTAAATTTCTTTAGGATCAAATAGTAAGTTTATATTTTATTAATTGAAAGTTTTATGATTTTAAGGACCATACAAATAATTTCACCAATCTAACGAGACCACGATCACTATTGGCCCATCATGCATTAATCGAAATATATCCCGACTAAGCCCACATAATCAATTCTGATTTCTGAACCGAAAACCTACACGACTTGAACATATAACATCAAGCTTAACGATTTAGTCAATGCATCATTGACCAAAAGCACACAATCTTAGATGGGAGTGCTATGCATACACTTCAAATTTACCAGGGACCAAAATTGAATTGTAACTTCTTTGAGAGACCAAAAAGGCAATTTTATTATTTTGTTAATTGAAAATTTTATAATTTAAGGATAAAATAAAACAACTTTATCAAATTAAAGAAAACATAAAATCATGCTACAAATTTATGGATTCAGTGATTCGATGTTAATTATAAATAATCGAAATATATTCAAATTAAATCTACATATCCCGAAACTGAAATCAAGATAAACCCTAAACCGAACTCAGACCCAAAACATGAAGCTTAGCCATTGTTGAGTGAAGGCATCCTTGACCAAAAGTACACAATCTTGGATGAGAGTGCTATGCATATACTTTAAAATGTACTGCAAAGGCGTGCATGATGCATATCTTCTAGAATGGCTTGCAAATCTGAAAGCTCATTGCTAACTTCCAATCCAATAAATTAATTTCAGAAAATTTAGAATTTTATTATAAATATACAAAAAGTAAACTCCAAGTTCATAAATTTAATAATTTCTGATCTAATCTATTTTTTAAAATTAAATTTCAAGATAAGCAAGCTAGATTTTCAATTGTAATATAATACAAAAACATTTACCAGTTTAAGTATGGTATAACAAAATTCAAGAAATGTTTCAATATTAATAACTTAAATAAAATCGAATTCGGATTAAAATCGAAACCAATATAATTTTTTTGTCGTTGAAAATATTAGCAATTCTTAAAAAAGTCGAGGCGTATCCTATCCACAAAGGAGTGTCAAAATAAAACTGTAAATTTGCCTTTTGCTTCAACAGAGATGTTGAGCAGAATTCTATCAACCTTTGATCTGTTTTTAGCATGATATGTATTCAGGTTCGGATATTTTTTTTGAAAAATATTTATAAATATTACACTTGATATAATATTTCGGTTTTTAAAAATTGAATCGAGGCTAAATCAAATTCTGTTATATAACAATTTCAAATTATTTTTATTAACTTAAATATTAAATATCCATTTTAGAACATGAAAAACTAATTATTTTAATATAATTTTAATATTTATTTATTTATTAAAATTCATAAATCAAATATATTTAGTTATAGATTTAATTTAAATAAATTCGAATGCTATAGTTTAATATCAAATCGAACCGAATTGAAATAGTAGCTTCTTAGAAAGAATAAGAGTTTGATATGGAAAAGAAAGTGGGAGACACGAACATGACAGCTATATTAATTAAGATTTTGTTTATATTATTATTATTATTCTTCAAAATCTTATTTGTTCTTTGTTTATACCAACAGCTGTAATTATAGTTTATATAATTCTAAGATAAAACAACTTCTAGTCCCTGAATTTAACAATATTCTATTATTTGATCCTTTATTTTTTTTTCTTCCGTTCACATTAATCTTGAACTTGGATTTTCGTCATTTCGACGATAAAAAAAATAAGAAAAGTTGCCAAGTTCAAGGATTAACGTGGACAATGAATATACTTTAGGGACTAATTTGGAAAAGGTTACTAACTTTGGGGATTAAAAGTTAATCTATCCCTATAATGTTTTCATGCAGACTACAAAAAAGGGGGGAATAGCAAAGAAAACGATTATTTTATTTTAGGGTAAATTACACAAATGATCCCCCGACTATAAGAAATTGTTTTGTTAACTCCTTCGACTATTAAAAGTTACAAAATGGTCACCCAAATATAGGGAGTTGCTTTGTTGAGTCCATCGACTATTAAAAGTCATAAAATGGTCACCTAACTATTCATTATGTTCAAATCTTGTCCTTTTTTGTTAAAAAATTAACAATCGTTTGAACCAGACATTAACATGTTGACTGAGATGTGATAGTCTTTAAGATTATGAGATCGGATTTTACCGTATCTCAATCAGTAGAGTAACGTCTAACTCAGATTGTCGTTAATTTTTTAACAGAAAAGGACGGGTTTGGAACATAATAAATAGTCGGGGTGACCATTTTGTAAATTTTAATAGTCGAGGGACTTAAAAAAAACTCTTTATAGTCAATGGACTATTTTGTAACTTTTAATAGTTGTAGGTCTCAACAAAATAGTATCTTATAGTCGGAAGACCATTTGTGTAATTTACCCTTTATTTTATTCTAAAGTATAACATTAATTAGTTACTAATCATTGAGAGTGTTAATGATTGCAATATGATTTAATTTAACAGAGTGGATGTATTATTATTATTGTTATAGCTTTAATCTTTTAGTATTTTTGACCTTTTTTAAAAAAACTAGTAATTTATAATATGATTTAATATGGTAATAGCTACCATTGTTTATACTCACGTTAACAAATTGATAATTATCATTTTGTATTATTTTATTTGGGTTAGGGACTACGGGCTATTTGTTTGGCTCTTAATGGAATCATTCAGCGCTGAATGTTGAACGGTTCAACATTCAACGTGTTTGTTTCTCACATCTGAATGATTCAGTGCTGACTGATTCAACAAAACAGTGCTGACTGATTTAGCATCAAAGTACATTCTGAATCATTCAGAGCCATTATCAAACATCATGCAACATTCAGAGTTAATTCATTCAGAGCCTCTGAATCATTCTGCATTTGAATCATTAAACGCTTAATCATTCTAAAGTAAACGAATAGCCCCTACGTTGTCCAATTTTCAGTTTGGTTGTGTTATATTGCATAGAAGGATTCAAAAATTAAAATATTGGTCCAAAAAATTTAATATTATTTTTTTTATTAATGAAATTAATATTTTTTTTTTCATTTTCTTAATATATTAAAATATATTTAATAATTTATCTAAAATAATACTTATACACTTGGCTCCTAGGGGCTGAGTTTATCGGCTCCTTTATAATGGTTATTTATATTATGCTAAAAAAATTATTTGATTAAGACTCGAACGTATATATTGTGAATTGAAATGACAATAGGTATACAAATTTTAAATTATTGAAATAGCAAATCAACTTAAATATTTCCATTTTATCTTTAAATTATCTAGTATTACTATCTGAATTAGAATCAGAAATAAATATTAAAATCTATAAGATATTTAAATATGTATAGATTTTAAAATTTAAATTATAAATAATATGTTGGGTATTTGATTCTATATAAATTCGGATTTATATATATTAAAAGTTGGATGAACAAGGTTTGAATCTTCTCATAAGTATACATATTCTTCATTTTATAATATAGGATTAAATTCATATATCTAAATCTACATAAATAATGAACATTCATATAATAATTATTCAATTGTTTATTCATATCTATTCTGAATTCATATTAAATATAAATCTAAATTTAATTCATATTAAATATAATTTTAAATTTATAACATTAAAAATATTAAATATATGAAAAATAGATTAAATACCTGAATTCGTAATTTGAATTGTTATATCTATCCACGTAATATACATATTCCAAACTCTCACCCTCCACATTTGACCTCTCATCAACTCTCTTTTGTTTACATTTCACTTGGTTTTTTATATAATCCAATCCCCCGACTCATTCGTAAATATAAAATTTAATTTTTCAATTCTTTATTCCCATTCGTAAAACCAATAATATTTTTTCAAAAGAATTTGTTTGGAAAAACCTCAACTACTACTATGCAAAAAACAAGCACGCGATTGATCTCAAAAGCGTTGAAATCGTGTTAACTGATCGGTTGGGAAGTGTTTCTCTTGTTTTTGTTCATATTCATCTCTCCCCCGCTCCCCTTTAACCTTCAAAAAAGAAAACCCAGAAAAGTTATAGCAAGTAAAGCAAGTTAATGAAGTCGCCGGCGTCGTTTCACTCGTTCGGGAGTAGTAGTAATTACAGCCGTTCATTTGACTTGCCGGAGGACTATGATGGCAGTGATGAGTACGGCGTTGGTGGAGCAATGTTGCCTATTTTCCTCAGCGATTTACAGAGGAATAACGGGCAAGAACTCGTCGAAGTCACGCTGGAGCTGGAGAACGACTCCATTGTGTTCTGTAGCGTGGCGCCGCCGCCTCCGGGTACTCCTTCGATTGTTCCGGACGAGAGGGAGGCCTCGGTGGCTGGTTCGTCGGGAATTTTAGCTAGAAGCCTATCGGCGACATCGAGGATACGGAGGAAGTTCGCTTGGTTGAAGTCGGGATCGTCGTCGAGAGCTTCGTCGACGGTGGATAACGATCAGGACCGTCGGATCACGGCTCGCGACGAGAGGAGGATCAAGGCGAAGCTCCAACGAACGAAATCGAGCGCCGAGCGAGCGTTGAAAGGGCTGAGGTTCATCAGCAGGAACACCGGTGCAAATGACGCGGAGGAGATGTGGAAACGAGTTGAGTCGAGGTTCCAGACGTTAGCTAAAGACGGATTCCTTGCGAGAGAAGATTTCGGTGAATGCATAGGTCCGTACTATACAATCTCCGTTCCTCTGTTTGGCAACTAAGAAAATAATTAAAAAATTTCAAAATTCCTTTTCTCCATTAACGTAGGCATGGTGGATTCAAAGGATTTCGCAGTCGGCATATTCGATGCACTAGCGAGAAGAAGAAGACAGAGAATCCAGAAAATCACAAAAGAAGAGCTTCGCGATTTTTGGTTACAGATATCAGATCAGAGCTTCGACGCGCGTCTTCAGATTTTCTTCGACATGTTAGTTTTTTTTTCTTTCTTTTTCAGTTTTTGGGTTAATTACACAAAAAAACCCTAGAGAAATTTGAATTATCCTAAACTTCAAATCGAAATATCGCTCTAATCGAGTTTGTTAATTTAACTATGAGTTTTTGTATTAAATGTTAGATCATCAGATATAATTGAACTATATTTAATGGTTATTAAATTTATCAAATTGTTATAAATGATCATTGTAGTGTTATAAAAAATGTAATAGTTCAATAAATTAAATGATAATTTTATATTTTTTGAAAGTTCAGGGATTAAAATGATCATTTAGCACAATCCAATGACTTTTGGTGTACTTTATCCTCTAACTAGAGAGTCATTCGAAATATTTTGAAGTTTATAGTAAATTTAAATTTTATCTCTAGTATGGTGACTTCGGTTGAAGTTAACCCTTTTTTAACGGTTCATTTCCCGCGAAAAGAACTACAGCGATTTTGATCGGCGAAGAGCGATCTTTGAATTTGATTGGTTGAGAGCAGTAATTATGAGTAGTTACGTGAAGCGCCTGATTTTTGCCACTGAACAAAAACGCTAACGAGAGCCAAAAACGCAGAGTTTTGTTTTAATTAATTAATTAATTAATTAATTAATTTTTGTTGATTAAATTCTCTTGCTGGATTTTCTTTTTCTTTTTGGTCTGTCCTTTGATTATTTTAATCAATTTTTATAGGGCTGACAGCAATGAAGATGGTAGAATCACAAGGGAAGAAGTACAAGAGGTAATCAAATGATCGATCTTTATTTACATTTTATCCTTCAATTGATATTTTTTTCATAATTTAGTCCTTCCGTTTTTTCAATTTCTGAATTTAGATTTTTAAATCATCTTGAAGGTGTGTCATAATCTTATAGTGTTAAATTATCAAAAGGGTTAAAATGAAAAAAAATATATCAAATTCAAAGATTAATATGGACCAAAAAATTAAGACCACGTTAGAAAAAACTGCCAAATTCAAGGACGAAAGGTTATTTTATCTATTTTTAAAGAAAATGATTGCAAAATTCGTCAATTGTGTAAAAAAGGCAAAATTCAATTACTTTCAAGTTTGGGTTAAATATTTTAAAGTCAATGTCTTTGGTGGTGGTGGTGTTTATTTGTTGGGTTATATTCTTTTTCTTTTTAAAATTCAGCTCATAATGCTGAGTGCTTCAGCCAACAAGTTATCCAAGCTGAAAGAACAAGCTGAAGAGTATGCTTCACTTATCATGGAAGAACTAGATCCCGAGAATTTTGGGTACATTGAGGTAAATTGTTTAATCATGGTTTTAGTTATTTTATTATTTGGCCCCTCTGCTTTTATAATATTAGTAATAGGTATAAATCAATAACATCATCAGATGATCGGAGATTTCTTTTATTATTATTTAGTCACATAATCAAGTCAGATGATAATTTAACTGATATGTAAAATTCTTTTAAAATATCCTTATCATCAATAACTAAGCATGTGTAATTTTGGGGTTCACTTCAGTTATGGCAATTGGAAACTCTACTCTTACAAAGGGATACATACATGAACTACAGCAGACCACTTAGCACAGCGAGTGTAGGTTGGAGTCAGAACCTAAGTTCTCTCAGACCCAAAAACATGTTCCGAAGAGTTTGCTTTAAACTCCGGTGTTTGCTATTGGAAAACTGGAGAAGGGGATGGATTTTGTTGCTTTGGATAATGGCAATGGCTACCCTTTTCGTATGGAAATTCATGCAGTACAGAAACAGGGCTGCATTTCAAGTCATGGGGTATTGTTTATGTACCGCCAAAGGTGCTGCCGAGACACTCAAGCTCAACATGGCTTTGGTTCTTCTACCTGTTTGTCGAAACACATTGACCTGGCTTCGTTCGACCGGAGCAAGATCCTTCGTCCCTTTCGACGACAGCATTAATTTCCACAAGGTATGAATCAGGGTTTACAGTTTAGTTATATGAACTTCGTTGATTGAAAGTTTAAACTTGTTTAGTAATGATCTGTTTTGAACAGACAATTGCGTGTGCAATAGCCTTTGGGGTCTTGGTTCATGCAGGAAGCCATTTAGCTTGTGATTTCATCCGCCTGACCGATGCCCCTCCCGAGAAATTCGCTCTCATAGCCTCTGATTTCAGTCACGGCAAGCGACCGACGTATACGGAGCTTTTGATCGGTATTCTAGGCGTGACGGGGATCGCCATGGTGATTCTCATGGCCATTGCATTTATATTAGCGACGAGTCACTTCCGGAAGAACGTTCTGCGATTCCCTGCACCGTTCAATAGATTGACAGGATTCAATGCTTTCTGGTACTCTCATCACCTTCTAGGTCTCGTGTACATTTTGCTGGTGATCCATGGGACATTCTTGTACTTGGCACATCAGTGGTATCAGAGATCGGTAAGAACTTCGACATCATAATTTGCTTTAGGTTAATGCCAAAAAAAATCCCAACTTGACCTAGTATTAACTATGTTGGTGTTTGCAGACATGGATGTACATTTGTGTTCCATTGCTGCTTTACATAGGGGAGCGTAGTGTAAGAACAAGTAGAGCAGAACATTATTCAGTAAAAATATTAAAGGTAAATTTTAGTTGTTTCCTTTACAAATTCTAGCCTTTAGCTAAATTCGGTAACCATTCGAGTTTGATGCGCAGGTTTCAGTACTACCCGGAAATGTCTTCAGCATCGTCATGTCGAAACCGCAAGGATTCAAGTACAAAAGTGGGCAGTACATATTCTTACAGTGTCCATCAATCTCCCCATTTGAATGGTATGTCCAGATCTTTGTTTCAGGAACATTTTTATACTTTCTTTTGGCACATCGAACTAACACTAAATTCATTTCAGGCATCCATTTTCTATTACCTCGGCACCAGGAGACGAGTATCTTAGCGTTCATATCCGGACGGTTGGAGACTGGACTCGGGAACTGAAACGGGTTTTCACCCAAGTTAACGACTCGCCTTTTGTCATTGGCCGAGCTAGATTCGGTGGCCTTGGATATATTGATCACAACTGGTATAAACTACTCTAGTGAGAAAAAAAAATATTCTTCTTATATTCAAATCCGACGAGTATTAACGCAACGTGCTTCACCTGTGCAGCCAACCTAAGTTACTCGTCGATGGTCCGTACGGGGCTCCGGCACAAGACTACCGGAATTATGATGTTCTCCTCCTCGTGGGTCTAGGAATCGGAGCTACCCCTTTCATAAGCATCCTTAGAGATCTCTTAAACAACTCAAGACCAGAAGACCAAATGGTACATAACATACACATATTCATGACTCAAACTACTTTTCTATTAGGACTATTAAGTACTTATTCCGGGTGATTTCTTGGTATATAGGATACAACAGAAATGAGTAGATCAGATGATAGCTGGAACAGTCTAGCGTCTTCGAATTACACGGCGAATTCAAGTTTGTCTGTCAGTGGAAAGAAGAAGTCACCGAGGACTCAAAACGCTCATTTCTACTGGGTCACAAGGGAACCAGGGTCATTCGAATGGTTTAAAGGAGTAATGGATGAAGTTGCAGAAATGGACCACAAAGTAAATGACATTTTCTTTTCTCACTTGAATATGCTTCCGAAAATTGATTATGTTAAATAACAACTTTAGTCCTTGTTATTTCTCAAAACTTGAAAAACAGGGTCAAATCGAGCTGCACAACTACCTGACAAGTGTTTATGAAGAAGGGGATGCAAGATCAACCTTGATAACTATGGTCCAAGCTTTAAACCATGCTAAACATGGTGTTGACATCTTATCAGGCACCAGGGTAATGATTTTTTCTTAAAATTAATAACGGAATTACAAAATTTAGATTATGATGTCCACGAGACTCCACCCGTACCCGAAAAAGTCATCTTCAATTACCATTTCTTTAGTTTACCAGTTGCTTTAGATCATTGAAATGTGGAGAGCATGTCATTGGTATTAGATTCTCTTCATTGTCAAACTCAACAACTATAAAATTTTCCTCCCGTCATTTTCTCACCTACCAAACAACCATTTTTTTCCCAAAAAAAGGCGCCAAATATTGAATTATTATTTAATCATTTGCTTCACAGGTAAGGACTCATTTTGCAAGGCCCAACTGGAAAGAAGTCTTCAGAAAAATAGCTTCAAAACATCCTCATGCCACAGTAGGTAAGTACTTTTCTAACCTACTACGAACTCTTAAAATACAGCATCAAATGGCTGTACGCTACCAACTAATGAAGATAATATATATATATATATATATATGTATACATAATTGTGTATGTGCATACAATATTTATGACCTTTCGGCTTAACTCACAGCTGTCATATTTTTATTTGAATTAATGGAAGAGAATCAAAATAGTAATGATAAAAATAAAAATAAAAAGAATACGGAAGACTTTTGATATGAATCAAGAACATGCTTAGCTTCATACTAGAAATGGTCTAATTATTGTTTTAGTCTTTCTAATGGGTTGGAATTAGGGATGGATACGAGACAAGATAAGTTATTTTTAAGCGTCGATATTATTACTTGTTAATTGATAACAATATTAACGGTTTTATAAAAATTCATATCATCATTTTAACCATAATAGTTAAAACTATTATCTATTCGGATCTATAGATAGTATTATTAAATTAAGGGTAAACTACACATTTAGTACTTCAATTATTACTTTTATTTTGTTTAGATCAGCCAACTATTTTTTATTTTAAAATCACGCATAACGTTATATTTTGGTCACACACCATTAAAAAATTAACGATGATGTTGATGTGTCACCATAAGATAACGTCATGTCATCATTAATTTTTTTTAAAATGTCACATCACCAGTTCTATTGATTTTTTAACAACAGGTGACCAAAATGAGATCAAAATGTCTCGTTAGATATGATTTTGAAAAAAATAATAGTTGAGTGACCAAAACAAATAAAAGTGATAGTTGAGGTACTAAACATATAATTTACCCTTAAAAGAAAGATGAAAATAACTTTTTTATATTAAAAAACTGCAGGAGTGTTCTACTGTGGGATGCCAATGTTGGCAAAGGAATTGAAGAAGCTATCAAGTGAACTGAGTCACAAGACATCGACAAGGTTCGAGTTCCATAAGGAATATTTCTGAGTTTTCCCCAATTGCATCAATGGAAGTACATACATGTCAACCTGCTTATTCGTTTTTGTAACTAATTCATATAGTATTCAAAGAAAATATAGGCTGAGATATATAAACATATTGTATTTTATAATTATTATTAAAATAAATATTTATAATTGTATCCGTGTTTGACATTAACGTTGAACACATATTTAAATATAAATGTAAGTATACACTTTCAATTATATTATATGTACTTAACACTCTTTTTTTGAATTCTGAGTAATTGTAAATGTAATACATATGTATAGCATTTAAATATAATCATTCTTCGCGATAAATTTTAAATTTTAATACTTTGTGTTCACATTAATAATCATAATATTAGATTTGAATCCTTGGAATAAGGTTTGAGATTCATATTCTGATATTTTGAATGATGTAAACGGGATTAGGAAAATTAATTTTATAATAAACTTCTATAACATTTAGTCTAAATTAATCAATCGATAAATCAAATATTAACTATGTTTGCAACCAAGTGTCGCTTTGGTATATTAGTTAAGGCGTGTACCTGCTAAGTACATGGGTTTTGCCCGCGAGAGTTCGAATCTCTAGGCGACGACTAGTTTGAGATTCATTTTCACCCCACGTGACTTAGCCCAAACCACTGTAAAAGTCAGCTTGGCCCTTGCCCGCAAAGTGTCGAGCTACTTGACGACCACCGTGACGACATCGGGGGGAAGACTAGAAGGGAGCAAGCAGCACTGACTGTGTGGAGCACAGATGGCTGAGTAGGTGGACAAGTTGAGCAGGACGTTGAGTGAGTTGAAGCACATGAGAGAGGAAGCGTTCGAGTGATGTGAGGAAGAAAACTACGAATGTGATTAAGGTTACCATAATGCTTTGTATATGATTCGTAAGGTTGATGAAAGTGGTGGTAGGAATCGGCTGAATCATTGATAATGATGATGGTGATGGAGATGGTAATTTATTGTTTTGATCTCTCATATTTTTAAATTTATAATAAAGTCCTTATATATAATCTCTTAGTGTGAAAATAAGTAAATAAGAAGTGATTTTTAATTCATTAATAAAGTTAAGAAAACTACCATTAATAGATCAAACAATACATAAATAATATTGATGAACTATAAATCAGAATCATAAATTGAACTTGTAAATCGAACCGATGAATCAAATCCATGAATCTAAATCATGAAAAACAATTTTGTGCAATATTTCTTCCTCTAGTGTTCATTTAAAAAAGAGAAAATAACCTCAGTGACCGAAAATTCCTTATAATATACGATTTTAACCAACTTTTTTACGATTTGCCAAAATGGCCAACAAAATCGCAACGCGATCTCCATTATCGCAATTCAGTTTCTAGATTTGCAACGCAATTTTGACCATCGCATTGCGATTTTCAAAATCCGCATTGCGATTTTCGAAATCTGCGTTGCGATTTTAGATAATCGCAATGCGAATATGTAAATCGCAACATGATAACACGTGATCGCAACGCGATTCGGACTATCGCAACGCGATAATACGTGATCGCAACGCGATTCTGACTATCGCAACGAGATTCTGACTATCGCAACGCGATAATACGTGATCGCAACGCGATTCTGACTATTGCAACGCGATTCTGACTAACGCATAACTGAATTTCAAATTCGCAATAGGTTTTAGTTTCGCAACACAAATGGGTATATAACTACTACGCAACAACATCAACTCATAACCTAAATCCCTAAATCGCAACTCATTCCATCTCCATCTATCACTCTCTCCGGCGACATCCGTTCCTATATCCAACGAGATCCTTCCCCATCCGGCAACAAGTTTTAGTTTCCCAGCTCGTTTGTTTAGTAAATTAATTTACAATAATGAAATCATCTAATGTTGATCATGTTTGGATAGATTTGTGTTTTGGAGGGTCATGGGAGAATGTTCATGGTGTTTTACAATATATGCCTTTACCCATGAATCTTCAACTAAAACTGTCATTAAAAAAGTTAACTTATGAAACTCTAATGTTACGTGTTGCAAATAAATTGAATTTAGAGCCCTTAAGTGGATTTAGGCTATCTTATCAGAGAAAAGGTAAAGTTTATTTGTTAACCGACAATGAAGATGTTGAACGATTCATTGCTTACATTAGTGTTTCGCAAGATGATGTTACATTGTATGTTGTTGAACCTAAAAGTAGTGAAGTTGGGTCAGTAGCGGGTAGTAATCAACTAAGTTTTTCAACCCTAGTTTATGGTGCTCAAAATTTAATGGTTCCACCACAATTTCATCACCAAACAAATTTTGTTTCACCACATTTCCAATACCAAACACAATCTCAAAACCCACAACATTTCCCTAATCCAAATCCCAATCAACTTTCAGTACCAAATTTCAGTTTTCGTATTAACCAGATAGACGATACAGAAAAAATTGTGAGTACTAGTCGGTATTCGAAATTTGATCTTGGTCAATACCCGGACTTTGATCTTGGTCAATACTCGGATTTTGATGATGTTTCAGAAGAAGAAACAGACCCTACGTGTAATGATTTTGATATTGGTCAATACCCGAATTTTGATGATGAAACAACCGCTGTCGAGGAAGATGTTGTTGATGATAATGAGGAGGAAGTTACGACTGTGAATGAACATGTTGAACATCCATTCTGTAATTCATATAACCCTGAAGAAGAAAAAGAAGAAGAAGAAATACCAGAAGAAAAGTCCTCGAAGAAAATGCCACGGGAGTATAACTGGAATATGCCAGAATTACTTCAGATACCAGAAGAAGAGTTGGTAAAAATAGCAGTTGATTGTTACACAAAAATTATTCGTATCAAGAAAGATGATTGTTTTGATACAAAGGAAGACTTGAAGATAGCTTTGTATACGAAATGTGTGGAAGATGACTATCAACTAAAAGTTAACAAATCAAGCAAAAATCGTTTCGAAACAAGGTGTATGATTGACAAAAACTGTACGTGGTGTATGATTGCAAAGAGGATAAAAGATTGTGAAATGTTTCAAGTTAGGACTTTTATTGATAAACATACATGTTCAAGAACCCAAGTTTTTCCTCACCATAGACAGACAAACAAAAAGGTGTTGGGTGGTTTTCTGGCTGAGTTAATGTTTTTGAATGACAGGGTATATCGGGGACATAAAATTATGACTGACATGAATGCTCGGTTCAAGATTAGTATCTCATATTCTCAAGCTTGGAGAGCCAAATGTTATGCCTTGGAATTGTTGAGGGGGTCGCCAGAAGCATCGTTTGCCCAACTGCTGGCTTATTGTCACAATTTAAAGCTGAAAAATCCTGGGTCGGTAACTCATATCAAAACAGATAGAGATGGACGCTTTGAGTTGCTGTTTATCGCCATTGGTGTTGCGGTTAGTAAATCAATATAATTTTGTTGACTCATTTTTGTTAGTTACATGTATTTCACATTTAAATGATTATATTTCTTGTGTATATGATTTTGTAGATTCGTTCATTTATTACTTGCATGCGCCCAATTATTATAGTTAACGGAGCACATTTAAAAGGTCGATACCTTGGAGTAAACTTATTAGCAGTAGCCATGGATGCTAACAATGGGATACTACCAATAGCTTACGGGGTTGGCAAATCTGAAACCTCTGATTCATGGACATGGTTTATGGGGCATCTTAGGGATTGCATAGGTCCTATTAGCAATCTGACAATCATATCCAATAGGGCAAACTCAATTGACAATGCTGTTAGAAGGTGTTTCCCATATGCTTTTCATGGACTTTGTGGTGTTCATTTATATAGAAATCTAAAATCAAGGTCTGCTGGTATAAAAAATCACAAATGGACATACTGGAAGGCTGTAAAAGCTTATCGGGAAGTGGATTTTAATAAGCATATAAATTATTTAAGACGTGTTTTGCCTCAGTGTGCTCAAACACTAGAAGTTGTCGGGTTTGAAAGATGGTCAAGAGTACACCAACTTGGAGCAAGATATGGTTTCATGACGTCTAATAGTGCAGAATCAATCAACGCTCTAAGTCGTCATTCCCGAAAATTACCCATAACTATGTTAATGGAGTTTTTTCGAGCCTATATTCAACAGTGGTACTACAAGAAAAGAAACCATGCAGGTATTATTTCTTTAAATTCGTAACTTATCATATAATTTACTAAGTATTATTTATTTAAATTTACAGGAACATTGGAACATCGTGTTACACCATGGACTGAAAAAAAGATAACGAAACGTGTTGTGAAGTCAACGTCATGGAGAGTTGAACCACGTTCAAACACTTTGTTTGAAGTACTGGATAATAACTTAAATGGGCTTGTCGATCTAAATGCAAAGACGTGTAGTTGTATGAAATGACAAACATCTGGTTATCCGTGTGACCATGTTATGAAAGTTGCTCTTCATCTAAACCAATATGATTCAAGCGCATATGCTATGGATTGCTACACTACAGAAGTATATCGACAGACTTATACCGAGATTATCTACCCTATTCCACATCCTTCTGAGTGGGACATACCAGATGACTTACAAACAGTTTTGCCACCAGCCATGGACAGAAGGCTACCTGGCCGACCAAAAAGTCACGATCGTATACCGTCTAAGGGTGAAGAGAAGAAAAGATCTACATGTAGTCGGTGTAAGGAAAGTGTTCATACAAGGTTGACATGTGGATCACCAGTGCCATCACAATCATCTTTTCCTCTACCAAAATATGGATCATCATCAAAATCCAAAGCTCATATGGTGTCAAGCAAAAGGCAATCAAAATCAAAATCCCAATCACAACCGGCATCACCTTTTGGGACTATTAACTTAGGTGATTTTTAAATGCAAACGTTGTATTATGTGTATTTTATGTGTAAACTTTTAACATTTTCAGTTAGGCCCATGTATATTAGTAACTTGAGTTTGAACATTACTATGATTTGTTCAGTTGTTATCACTTATTACACATTCATTTGACTATCGCAACGCGAATATGACTATCGCAACGCGAATATGACTATCGCAATGTGAATTTGAATATCGCAACGGGATAATTGCAATGCAAAAATGACTATCGCAACGCGAATTTGACTATCGCAACGGGATAATCGCAATGCGAAAATG